ATTATATATCTGCAACATCCTTCGAATAAGATTTTTCACCAGTAATATTACGATGTTCAATACAATTTCAAAGTTTGATTTGATCTCAATTGGAGAGAACTGTTTTCACAGTGCAGTGACAGTCCAAGGTGGCAATGGAAAATAATAAATTAATTCCATATCTCTTTCTGCATTGGTATTGTCCTCATCCTATTTCCAGATCCAAGAACGTGCTTTATTAACTCCAGAATAACTATATAACAAATGTTTTAACGCTTCGGCTGGCTCTGGAGGAACGGAATTAAGGGTCCCAAACTTTGCAAATGGGATTAACGTTATTTATATTTTCCTTTCCTTCGCGAATTCTGCTCTCTAACTCGATTTAGTGTGGCGGCATGATCAAAACTCAATTTCGGTTTAATTATGAATATCGAATTTGCGATAATTCGACCTTCGAACCGTCTTGTTGCCATTCCGAAATTAATTTATTTATCAGATTTCCTTGATTAACTGTGTCGTGAATTTCGGTTCAGTGGATATACAGGGAGTCGGCAACGGTTATGTCATAAATGATAGAGCTGATAGAGTGAGCCTAATTAATGTTCTTTTTCTACATTCATGCAAAAAGCAGAACTTTATTGAACTATATTCAGTGGGAAAAGAAGTTATTCATTGCACTTAGTGCAATAAAGTTTTTATTGCACTCATCTGTCATTCTACTTCAACGTGCTGTCATCATGACAAACATTTTTTATATTTATATTGAAAATTGCACCAATTGTTCATTCACTTTCAACATTGAGGGTAAAAATAAAGTTCGAGTTATATTGTTCGTAACGTATTAGTTCCTGTTTCAATGCAAATCGATATTAATAATAAAGTATTCAAGTTGCGTTTTTCATTTTCCTACACCTAGTGCCGCACCTCGATAAATCATTTTTTGCTTTTTGCATGAACGTAGAAAAAATGTTGTATGCAACTCGTGCAAAAATTGTTTATTGCACTCGACGTGTTGTCCAACTTGGCCTAAATAAACATTCACTTTTGCACTTGTTGCATAAATAACTATTTTCTGCAACCGACACAAAAGTCGTCCATTTTGATACCAAAATTAGCTCTTAAATTGACGTTTCTATTACTGACAAAAAAATAGGTATTTTGCTAGGCAACATATTCAGTTCCTAGGAGCTAAAGTTGAATTTTAGTTCCTAGGAGCTAAAGTTGAACATTAGCTCCTCGGAACTAAAAATGATCTACTGGACGTCATCAAGAATAAACGACATTGTGATGGTTGGTTATTTGGGTTGAGACGCATACCTGATTTGTTTCCGATTTCAGCAGATTTGGCATTTCATACCCATGCTGGAGATATAAATAATCCTTATAATAGTTTAGTATTGGGATTATTACATCTCAGTTAAGTATTTTTGTTTTGATCAGGGAAGCCTTCAAGATTCAAATACTTGCTTGATCTGTATTTCATTCTTCAATCTCGGGATGGATAACTTGTTTTTGAATAATCACGGCAAGCAATAGTTTTTTTGTCTCAAACAACGATATTGTTTAGCTTAATTTGATTATCAAGTCAAACACAGTGTAGTATGATGAGGAATAAATAATCGCTATTATCATTGTTGATATGCTCACTAACCTAACATTTTCCACGTCTAATTCCTATAGCTGGCACTGGCGCGGTATTTGCCATTAGAGCACCTGGTCCGTACACAAATATATCACTCTGTGGTTGTATTTATATTGAAACTACAATTCGAACATCTTAGTAAACCTAACCTGCTGTTAATGCAGGTAGAATATTCTCACCACATGGATCATTTGTCAATATTTGTTGCATTGCATACATATGGCATGGGCATTGGTGGTTACTTCACATGTTTATTTGAGTTAATTGTTTCGATTGCAGAAAAAATAGCATGTTTCATTCGGATCAAAAGTGACTTTGTTCGACTCGCAAAATTCGCTTGTCAAACAAAGTGTCACTTTTGATCCTAATGAAACAATCTACTATTTTTTGAATGCTGGTCCTGTCACTGGCTACACCTCAGCCTCCTGGGCTTCTTGTGCATTCCAGTTTAATTCACAGGACCCATCCCTTAGCTCTCATTCCCTGCACCAGTCTATACAGGTTCTTCACTTGTTCCCGAAGAAGGGAAGATTTGTATTTCGTTCAAGAAAATTTATTCAATATTCGTAGCAGAGCGCTTTCGACTGTTAAGTCATCTTCAGTGCATACTTGTCAGGTTTGGAAATTTGTCCATAAAAATATTTTTGGTCCAGTTCAAAACTAACGACATTATGGTAAAATACGTTACAAACAAATTAAAATGTGTTTCCCAAAAGAAGGTAAATTACGGATTACATTTTGTTAAGCAGCCATTGTCGCTGCGACATGTCGTGTCGAAGTCAGACGACACGACAAGTCAGAATTATGTCAGAATGATTTGATGTCAATTGCATGTGAAATATCAGCAACTACCATGATGTTATTGAATCAATAGAGATTTTATCACCTTTGAAACGGTTGGGATGTATGTTTTCAAAATGCGATTTTGAGTTAATAACTACGTAACGAATACAGGTTATCAGAAAAGGTCACGACATGATTTTTCCGGATACCCTGTATATTCAACCGAGAAAAATTAATTAATATCAAAAATTCGTCATATTTTTCCCAGATAAACTGATCGAAGAAAATTATGAATATTACAGTAACAGTAAAAGACGTAGGTATCAGAAACACAGTATAGTCTCAACACGTTGAGCGCCATGAGCATCCCAAGGGACGGTCTCTTAGGATAATAATTTCTACACGGACAACGAAATTTTTGTTCACATGTGAATGTGGTCCCTAGGTTTGAAAAACACTGTCGAAATATAAATAAATATTTTCTTTATTAAATTTTCAGTAATGAAAAGAAGAGAATTGAACTATGAAATGGAATGAAAGTATAAAGATAATTTCACATTTATACGTCAAAAAACAGTTTTAGTGTAATAGATTGAAACAATCTAGTCGACAGTCGACTCGGTGTCTATTGTTGCGTCGCAGTGGATTTTACGGCGAAAACGGCCGTTTACTTCATTGAACAGTGGGACCAACGGTCCAGTAACAGCATTTCATAGTATGGTGGACCGCGTAGGTCCTATGGGACCTACACCTCATGAGCTTACATAATATTTTTGTTTTGAAGAATATCAAAAAATGGTTCACACACCACTTATATATGCTCAATATCTATTAAAAAATCATTTCGGCCCATAACGACTTCTGTTAAAATTCGGCTTGGCGCTCAACGTGTTGAATTTTTTCGATCAGTTTATATTTTTGTTGCCAATATAACGTACTGAGAACTGTGCTAATGTTCAAACTTGTCCTATCTATTTTTTTGCTACTATTCTTCAATATTGACAATGGAAGGAACTTTGTAATGGTATCCATTATTGCACTGTTCATTCACTGATCGAATTATATCCACGCAAATAACAGCAAACATATTTTATTAGAAATAATTCAAATACTCTGGTGCGGCATTGAACACTAAAAACCGAAATATCTCGAAAACGGCTCAGTTTAGCAAAAGTGAAGAACTACACTGAGAAAAAAGTAATGGCGATTCTAAACCATAAGAAATGCATTGGTAAGCGCCTTCTAATGGCCACAGTGAAATGGTGTCCGTATTGGGGTTTTGCATCCCAAATCTCCGCCGGCTACTCATTTTTGTTCATGTAGAAGAATGTTGAATAATGTTCATACATTTTGAAAAAATGTTTAACTTCACCTCCTCGGAAATAAAGCAACTCCGGACTGGGGTGAATTGCTTCAAATCGGCATATTTTGGTCTCAGAAATATGTGCTGAGATTTTGTACAGACCTATTTGATATCATAGTGTTTCGCCACAAATGACATTATTATTCTGAATATTTTTTTCGCTCTTATTCTGATACTATTCCTCTAACGATTATTCGAGATATCCCCTTCGTGATAATAAGGAAGTTTTGTCGAGTTTCGCTGTTACAATTCTCCAGAAGTTCATTCTTTCTAATTTTTCGAATTCCAATCAATGGAGAATAGACCAGATATGTTACTGAAAGGACAACTCTCCATTCTTCCTCCCTAATATATTCCGACATGTATCGTACAAAGCACTGAAAATGCCTCAGGAACTAGTCTAATTAGCAAAAGACCAAACGGTAAAAATGATAAAAGGCTGAAAACTTCAGAAGAAGGCTACTTATATTCTTTTAATGAGGTAAAATCCTGTTTTTCATGTACCCGAGGTTTTCTTTGAAGTTGCACTGGCAAATCCAGCTATATATAATTTTCTATTTCTCATGTTTCCAACTCAGCGCAAGAATTGGAGGAGAAAGAAGGTTACAATAATCTAAATTTAATTTTATGTTTAATTTCGGGTAGCAGAAGCTCTTTCTCCAAGCAAATATTAAGACTCTCGATTTGAGTACTCATCAGTGCAGTTGCGAAGGAGAAACTAGAGAAATAATATACCGAGTCAATATTTTTCATTCATCGAAAGAAGTGTTAGTTGCATGAAATATTCAATATTTTTAGTCTAAAATTTGTTGTATTTCCAAACTCACTCACTTTTTATTTTATAGATATTTTCATGAACGATGCTCTTCTGGAATTTCAACAATTGTTCCTCCCTTGGCAGTCCCCGCGACAATAACCCGTCGATTTGAGGCTTCGCACCGCTTAGTGGTCACTTTGGAGACCTGCAAAACATCTTTTTCCGAAGACTCGTTCATCCAACGAACAGCGAAGCTCTGGAACACATTGCCAAGGGAGATATTCCCGAGGCATATAACCTCCAGAAATTCAAGGAGAACACCAATTCCCACCTCATTTTCCTTGGTTCTCACGTTAATCTCTGAACATTACAGGATATCCCTTCTCGTGGGAACCATAACATAAGAAAAAATGAAATAAAATATTTCAATAAAAATTGGGCTCAGCTCTCTCCTCTCTACTTTCTCTTTTCCCTCTTTACTCTCTACATTCTATACTCTCTCTACCCTGCCTTCTGTCTCTAGTTTCTCTACTCCCTCTACTCTCTTCACTCTCTTTACTCTCTTTACTCTTTTTTCTCTCTTTACTCTCTTTACTCTCTTTACTCTCTTTACTCTCTTTACTCTCTTTACTCTCTTTACTCTCTTTACTCTCTTTACTCTCTTTACTCTCTTTACTCTCTTTACTCTCTTTACTCTCTTTACTCTCTTTACTCTATTTACTCTCTTTACTCTATTTACTCTCTTTACTCTCTTTACTCTCTTTACTCTCTTTACTCTCTTTACTCTCTTTACTCTCTTTACTCTCTTTACTCTCTTTACTCTCTTTACTCTCTCTACTCTCTCTTGTCTCTACTCTCTCTACTTTCTTTACTCCCTTTATTCTCTTCACTATCTCTACTTTCTCTACTCTCTCTACTCTCTCTACTCCCTCTACTCTATATACCCTCTGTACTATCTCTACTCTCTCTACTCTCTTCACGATCTCTACGCTGTCTACTCTCTCTACTCTCTTTACTCTCTTTACTCTCTCTACTATCTCTACTCTCTCAACTCTCCCTACTTTCTTTACTCTCTCCACCCTTTTTACTTTCTCTACTCTCTCTACTCTCTCTACTTTCTCTACTCTTTCTACTCTATCTACTCTATATACTCTCTTTAATCTCTCTACTCTCCCTACTCTCTCTACTCTCTCTACCCTCTCTACTCTCTCTACTCTCTCTACTCTCTCTACTCTTTCTACTCTCTCTACTCTCTCTACTCTCTCTACTCTCTCTACTCTCCCTATTCTCTCTACTCTCTCTACTCTCTCTACTCTCTCTACTCTCCCTACTCTCTTAACTCTCTCTACTCTCTCTTCTCTCTCAACTCTCTCTACTCTGCCAACACTATTTACTCTTTCTCCTCTCTACTCTCTCTACTCTCTCTATACACACTCTACTATCACTTTTCTCTCCACTCTCCTTATTTCTTCTACTCTCTCTACTCACGATCCTCTCTACTTTCTCTACTCACCACCCTCTCTACTTTCTCTTCTATGTTTCTCCTTCCTCTGCTCTTTCTATTCCTCCTATTCTCTCTTTTTCATATCTCCAATCAAATTCCAATATTTCTCGACAATCAGTACATGCATACGCAAAGTTTTGATCAAAATTAATTGAATAAACAAACTGCTACATGTAGTCCCCCTTTCCATATACAGTGACGAGCTATTATCAAAGCCATCCCCTGATATTAATGTTTACCCAACTAGGCCCAGACGTCAAAACGTAAGACACGATAAAAATGAACACAAAACCCCGCTCGACCGCAAACCTATACAGTATTCGTCAACTTCCTCTAGCAACTGCGAAGTTTATAACGAAATTTCAGATTCTAACCGAGTGATCCCTCGGTACAATATAGTTTTCGAGTTCTATACAAACTTCGACAGTAGTTTTCAAATGGACTTCGAAAGGCCACTGCATCACGGCTGAGTTAACGATCAGAGATTCTCAGTTTATCATTCCAGCAAATACATACAAGGTGATGATTGAATTCATGACATTCATTTGAATTCAAACTCGAGATGAAACTATATCTATGTCTGGATTTCCTGAATACTGCTAGCCACTTGCACTATACCACGTGTACCACGTGACGGTCCAGTGCGCAATGATAAAAGGCTTGAGTACATTTCGCCACCTCTGATAGTTCGTTGTGAAATCAGGGTTTCTATTTATTAATGATCGTATCATCGTACTGGCTATTGAAATAATGTCACTCTCTGCTTATGTAGTTTACAGGCTTTGCATCGATCGAATGTATTATAATTATAGTTTGATCCCCATAAGCGAAAAGCGGCAAATCAATAAAATATTTCATTAGTCACTACGATGCCACAATCAGACCCTGGTTGTTCAGCAACTCTTATTTCGCAGCAATATTTTGATTGATATCATCCGATTTACCTAACACATAAACGCCTAAGGACATCCTCAAAATGTCGCCAATAGCCAAATTTTATTATACCTAATCTTGGTGCATACCTCTGTGCTTTGCCCCATTTTATTTTCCAAATTTTCGAATTTATATTCTTAATTTCCATAACTAGAATCTTGTATTCTGATGATGGGCTTATATAAGCCCGAAACATGTACCCCTATGTGATTGATCTCTGATCGTCAAATAAATGTTGTGGAGATGACTTTGGGTTTCTTCATCTATGAATTATACAGGTTGTTTCATGTTTCATCGTTCAGTGGAACTTTTCCACTATCCATGGCTATTGGTCGAAAATTTGGTAATCAAACATTGTTCAACTTGGACAATGAGGTATACTCTTGCTTCATGGACAAAACTTCGAAGAGTCATAGCTCACAGAAATAGCGCCTCTGAAATAATAACGGTGTATTCAACAGTAATCTGCAAAGGAGTTTCTCAGCTATGAATGACTTTTTTCTGCAACCGACACAAAAGTCGTCCATTTTGATACCAAAATTAGCTCTTAAATTGACGTTTCTATTACTGACACAAAAATAGGTACGTTGCTAGGCAACATATTTAGTTCCAAGGAGCTAATGTTGAACTTTAGGGAACTAAAAAGGATCTACTGGACGTCATCAAGAATAAACAACATTGTGACGGTTGGTTATTTGGGTTGAGACGCATACCTGATTTGTTCCCGATTTCAGCAGATTTGGCATTTCATACCCATGCTGGAGATATAAATACACCTTATTATAGTTCAGTATTGGAATTATAGACATCTCAGTTGAGTATTTTTGCTTTCAAGATTCAAATACTTGCTTGATCTGTATCTCATTCGTTATTCTCGGGATGGATAACTTGTTTTTGAACAATCACGGCAAGCAATAGTTTTTTTGTCTCAAACAACGATATTGTTTAGCTTCATTTGATTATCAAGTCAAACACAGTGTAGTATGGAGAGGAATAAATAATCACTATCATCATTGTTGATATGCTCACTGACCTAACATTTTCCACGTCTTGTTCCTATAGCTGGCACTGGTGCGTTATTTGCCATTAGAGCACCTGGTCCATACGCAAATATGTCACTCTGTGGTTGTTTTTATATTGAAACTACAATTCGAACATCCTAGAAAATCTAACCTGCTGTTAATGCAGGTAGAATATTCTCACCACATGGATAATTTGTCAATATTTGTTGCATTGCATACATATGGCACGGCGTTGGTGGTTACTTCACATGTTTATTTGAGTTAATTGTTTCGGTTGCAGAAAAAATAGCATGTTTCATTCGGATCAAAAGTGACTTTGTTCGACTCGCAAATTTTGCTTTCGCTCGGCTTCGCTAAACGCTCCTCCTCGCAAACGCGAAATTCGCTTGTCAAACAAAGTGTCACTTTTGATCCTAATAAAACAATCTACTATTTTTACATACAACTTCACATGGAATATTCTTTCCATTTTCGAAAGTTCTATCCAGCATTAAATTTTCCCTCTTATAATCGGAAACTCCCTGTATATTGGAATGAATTTGGACCTCTATCGGAGTCAATTTCATTATTTGGTGAAGAGTCTGTTGTCTCCTTTTTGAACTTTTTGCTTCAACCACCTGATGACTGAACACTCTCTTCAAATTCGTATCTCCCTAGTCAACTGTGATAGTTGTATTACTTTATACAGGGTGTTTCATAATTGAATGCTGATCCTAAAGGGCGATCATCCTTGGATGATTTTACGAAAAATTCTTCATGTGAACATAGGTCCGTAACAGCTCCGTTTCTGAGATACAGGATGTTGAAATTTAACAAAAAAATTAGTAATTCCCCAATATCTCTGAAACCGCTCTGGCTTTTGTCTTCATTACAAATATTTAAAAATAGTTATCATAAAATTATAAAAATATTGCTTAGATCTTTTGGTTACCACAATTGTGAAATTATGACTAAGAGTAAAAATCGAATAGGGACAAGCAAATGAATGCATTTTATTTTTTAACTCAAATACCGTTCGCCGGACGAAAAAAAGACAAGAGACCATTTTCATGGGAAGATAGAGTCTAATTACAAAAATGATATTTATTTGGAAAAAAGGCAGTGGCGTATCATTATTTTGATGAAAAATATGACAGGGTATGTTAACAGGGACGCCACTGATGGAAATTAAGAAATCCTTTATTATGGAAAAAATGTATTTTTATTCATACTTGGCATGTACCGAAATTGAAGGAAAAAGCCGGAGCTGTTTCAGAGATATTGGGGAATAACTGATTTTTTTGTTAAATTTCAACATCCTGTATCTCAGAAACGAAGCTGTTACGGACCTATGTTCACATGAAGAATTTTTCCTAAAATCATCCAAGGATTATCGCCCTCTAGGATCAGCATTCAATTATGAAACACCCTGTATTCCCTTTTTTTTTCTTGAATAGCGCCCTAGCAAGCTCGTCCCACATTAGTTTCTCACCCCAATTCTCGCCCTTTGAATTTCGGGGTGGCATTTTTCATATTCATGAGCTTATTTACAATTTACATTAGCGTATGTATGACATGCTTTTCCAGTCATGAATCCTGAAATATAAAGCGTTCCATCATATTTGAAATTGCGCCGGCCACACACATACATGAACACAAGGACGTACATATGTAAGGAGAAGCGGGAGTGTTGGTATTCATAGAGAATATTTACGATTTCCTTAGAAAGCTGCCTACTAGGTGACACGTTGTAAAATACCATCCCTTGTTACCCCTTAATTTTTGACATGAAAATCAGTAGTATAGTAGTAGTAGTAGTAGTGTAGAGAGGCAGCATCCTGATATTATTTCATACTTGATGCAGCGAGCCCTAATTACAATACAGTGTGTCCCACTTAGCATGCTCACCATGGGTATCTTTTTAACGCTGAGAGATACGAGATCGGTTAAATGACACCAACTGTGGAGTTTGTCAAGGCCAACTATAATGTGAAAAAATATTTTGATAACATCTATTCGTTTTTATTTTATACGCAAAAAACAGATTTTGATCATTTTCATGTCTCCTCTGTAACTTTTTCATTTATGGAAATATTCAAATAGAAATTTCACATTCTCACGGCCGTTTTTCAACGTGATTTCGAAAAAAATATGAAATTTATACCCACTCATCTAGAATTTGAGATATCAGCACCAACTTTAGTTTTTCGAATTAAGGTCATAGCTCACTATGACTTAGTTACAAATAACTATTTTTTCTCTTTCAGATGATATGTCGCAGTAATAGTTTTGTGTTGATAACAACAGAGTTATTGACATTCATACAAAAACAAAAAATTATTTGGAAGCCGCCATCTTGAATTTATAAATTTTAACAAAGAAATCATGATCTCCGACCTCAAAAACCCCCACTTACCAATTTTGAATGGAATCGGACCAAATCTTGTACGCCATCTTGGAGCTGCCATTTCTTTCAATTTCAACAAAAATTCCATAATGTATTGTCACCCAAATTATGAACACCTGCCAAATTTCAAATCAATCGTCGTTATGGAATCTTTTCACTTTATCAAGACTCCTTCACCCATAGAACGGCTAGGCTCAACAACATTTAATCTCCAAAAGTTCAAGAAAAAATCCAATACCTACCTCCTGTCCCTAACCTCTCTAGGAACGCAGGATATTCTTTGAACATTATAGGGATTCCCTTTCGTGCGCTCCAAGCGATTAAAAAAAAGTTGACGAGCCGGTTCTTGCCAGTTCATCAGCTTTTTCGTTCCATACGATGCCACAATGTCCTGGAACCCGTGAAAGGGTAATTTTGTTATGTCCTGACAGGGCATTGGGTTCTTCTCTGCATTCTCGTACCAGTCCGGATGTCACTTCATCTCCGCCTGAAATACGGAAGTGTTCGTTTCCAGTGAGAAGCTTCCCTGGACCAGATCTTCCCTCCAGGTTTGCCCTTGATGTTGGCATCTGTCCATTCCCTTCAATCTCGCATGATCACCTCGAAGTTCATGTTGAAGCAGTATATTGGAGTAATGTTGGTTTCATTTTCAGAATGTTCCCTCCCACTATTTCCTTTATGTTGTTGTGTCCCGAACTATCGCTCTTGTTTTGTTTCTGTACCCATGAGGATATTTTCGATTCTTGCTACCCCTGAGAATGTTCATATGTACGACCCTGAACATACACTATTTTGCTTAATTGGGGCGTGTATGCATTTTGTCTTCTGGGCGAGTTTATATGATGAGGATGAGCGTTACTGCGTGAGGGAATTAAAATGAGTAATATAGTAGTTGACAGTGAGGCCATGAGGTATGTGATGACGAAGATAAAAATATTCGCTTAACAAATAAAATATTCAGCACTTTGGCGAATTAAAAAGTATCATTGAATTATAATGAATTCAAGAATTAAACGAATTTTAAATTGAAAATATATTGGTGTTCATGCAATAACCTTGCATCAGCTGTTTAATCTTCTTCCTTATTATTTGGTGCAGGCGCAGTCGTAAATCATGGAAGAAATTAATTTCTTATCTGAATGTTGGTCATCTTCCTCAGTTTTAATTTTAGTATCAATTCTTCAGTTTCTTGCATGAGTACCTACTTCACATTTCATAGTTCTATTTTGTTGGTTCGAACTCAAAATTCATTAAAGTTTCAAATTTTGCTTGCATAAATCCACCTTGTCTATCGGAACTGTTGAATTTATGCAGCATCATTTAACAATTATCGAGTAACATTTTTCATTTAACAAGTAGCAATTGAAAGTTGAACTTTTTGTTTGCAATAAAGGTTTTCTCAAGACATTCAACAATTATCAATTGACAAGTAACATGTAAGAAGTTGGCCAACTTTTAACTTTCTTACTTTGATTGAACCAGGTTTCCTTCTTGTGCGTAACTAGTACGCAGATGATCGCGGATTGATTTCATCGACTTGTAGAGAAGGCATGGATTGGTCAGACCAATGTCAGAACTGATAGCTGACAGATATGTGAACCAGTTTTCAGTTGGAATTCTGAACCCTACACACGTTTTACCAATGGAATACTACGAGAGCGTAGAAAGGCCACTGTTGTGTGTATTTTATTTCATTTCTTCATTCAGACTTTTAACTTCAAAGCCTGGATTCAGGCTTTTTTCTTTGAAGTCTTAATCCAGAGAAAAAGTCTCAAATCAGAAAAAGAAAGTCTGAATTCAGAGAAAAAAGTCTAAATTCTGGGGAAAAAGTCTGAATTCAGACTTTAAAGTCTGAATGAAGAAATTGAATAAAATGCACACAACAGTGGCCTTTCTACGATTTCGTAGAATACAAAATATGCACTCAATATTGTTGAACAATATACTATAGGTCTCATCAGTCCACTCGCCCTTTGCATTGGTCGAAATAATCGTACGCGTTCGCATTAGTTTTTTGGCGTCACTAGATGGCGATAACATGACTAGATCCTTTCGTACGGAAGCGCTAAATGCCAGTTCAAACTGGCAATTATGGCTAATTTCCAGTTCAAACTGGCAATTATAGCTAAATGCCAGTCCAAACTGGCAATTATAGCTAAATGCCAGTTCAAACTGGCAATTATGGCTAATTGCCAGTTCAAACTGGCAATTATGGCTAGTTTCCAGTTCAAACTGGCAATTATAGCTGAATGCCAGTTCAAACTGGCAATTATGGGTAATTGCCAGATCAAACTGGCAATTATGGCTAATTGCCAGTTCAAACTGGCAATTATGGCTAATTGCCAGATCAATCTGGCAATTATGTCTAATTGCCAGTTCAAACTGGCAATTATAGCTCAATGCCAGTTCAAACTGGCAATTATGGCTGATTGCCAGTTCAAACTGGCAATTATAGCTGAATGCCAGTTCAAACTGGCAATTATGGGTAATTGCCAGATCAAACTGGCAATTATGGCTAATTGCCAGTTCGAACTGGCAATTATGGCTAATTGCCAGATCAATCTGGCAATTATAAAAAAAGTATCATGTCCGTTCAGCGCTTTCGTACATTCGCTATTAGAAAACTTTCGATTCTTAGGAGGCCGTAGCTCCCTTAGCAGCCATTTCACGACTTATGTTTATCGAAACCCTGTATAAAAGCGTCGTAAAAAGTGATGTTTCTGAATGACAGTTCAGAGCGGTCGTAGAATATGACTAAATCGCTCGAAAATATTTCCTGCTCGACCAATCACCATCATCAGGAGAGAAGCTCGATCTGGATGAAAAATAAATCAATTCATGCCAACCGGAGGATTCCGATTTCATCATCATCATCATCATCATCATTTATTCATTTCCATTAGACAATTTACATTGTATTGGTACAGTCATTTTGAAAGTAGGTATATACAATAGTAGATAGAGAAGAAGAAGATACTATTTACAGTTCAAAAGTTTTCCGAACCCTAATATATTCAGAAAGACCAAAGCAAATATAATAAATAAACTCAAACAGTGCTTGAAAAAAATTCGTTCATATTGTAAAAACAGTTGTCAATTAAGAATGTTTTCAATTTGATTTTGAAGTTAGTCAATGATTTACTGGCTTTTACATAGTCTGGTAACTTATTGAATACTTTCAAACCCATATGATCAGGTGACTTGTATGATATTTCATTTCTGGAGAATGGTACATGAAAATGATCTCTTTGTCGAGTGCTATAATTATGAAAATGTTCATTTAGTGGAAATGTTTGCTTGTTTTGAAACACATAAATACCTAATTCATATACAAATAGGCATGTCAAAGGCAAAATATTGTATTTGATAAACAATTCTCTACATGATACTCTACGTGAGACTTTTGCAATGCATCTAATAATGCTTTTTTGAGCAATGAAAACATTTGATACATCAGTAGAATTTCCCCAAAAACAGATACCGTACCGCAATCTTGAATCTACTTGTGCATAATACAAATTTAACATCTGATTCATCTCCAGTACATCTCTCAGATTGATGAAAAGAAATTTCAAAGAAGATAACTTAGATGCAATTTTTTTACAATGATCTTTCCAGTTTAGATTCTCATCTAGATTGATGCCTAAGAATCTAATCGAGCTATGAATGCTATACACTGGACTATTATCAATATTAAATACCAAATCATCGACCCTCTTCTGGCTATGATGAATTCTTAAAACTTCTGTTTTTTTGGTGTTGAAAAACAAACTATTATCATTGAAATAATCAGAAACTTTGGTCATCAATTCTGAGCATTTGTTCTCAAGTGCATGGGTTTCTGCTGCCGATATAATGAATGAAAAATCATCTGCATATGCAGTATAATGTGTATCGCCAATGAAATGATCGAGTTGATTAACGTAGAGTATAAAAAGCACAGGGCCCAAAATTGAGCCTTGTGGTACCCCCATTTCTAATATCAGATTCCCTGAGTTGAATTGTTGAACTCTATTTTCCGAGAAAGTTTCTAATGAAACGAATTGTTTGCGGTGTTCTAGAAAAGAAGATATCCACGATAAGGATACACCCCTCATGCCATACATTTCCAATTTAGTCAACAGCT